TTCTTGGCCACGCCACTGACTGCAATTTCCAAAGTGTCATCTGTATTTTTCAGTCCTTCCATGTATAAAGAATCCAACAGCAGTTTCCTTCAAGGTTGAGTAAGTTTGAATCTTTAGGGGGCTGTAGCCACAAGATTTGGCAAGCCATTCACTTGTCATGTTAATAAAAAAGGAATTGTTTCTGCCTCTTTAAGCTAAATGAAGGAGTTGGATCAACTGGATTTTAATCATAAAGTCCAGATTCTTCTTGCTTGCTAGTGAATAACTTCATGGTGTTCAGGGGGTTTCATCCAATTTAATTTTATTTAGAAGAAGAACCGAGCCTCTCTCACGTTACCCACCCTTGAATTTACTTGCTTGTTATGCTGTTCAAGCCTAATCCGTTATCTTGATCTCAAAATGAAAATTGAGCCTTTCTGCACTTTTTATTTCCCAAAAGCAATTGAATTGAAAAGTGGGGTGGTTTGGTTTTTTTTTCCAACTCCTTAAGTTGTTTTTTATAGGTGGCATGTTAGCTTTGAGGGCTGTTTCATGACTGGTAAAAGCTTATGTCTTGTAAAATCTATAGCTTTTAATGCATTTTGTTTCTCACTTCAAACACAGTACCAAGAGAAGAAATAATAGAATATTTCATGGTCATGCTACTTTAACAGTTCAGATTCTTTTTACTTGGTGCTGCTGATTCTGTAGCTCCAAATGCTTGAGCTTAAAATTTGATTTCCTGAATTCCTTAGTCTGAAAATGTGGAAACTTAGAACAAGCTGTAATACACCCTGAAGAACTGTCTTGCTTACATGATTACTTTTCCTCTGCACAGAGACTGTAAGAAACTAGATCAGATGAATGATTATATTATCTGTGAAATGCAAAAACACAGGGTAGATAATATTTGTTCCTGAAGACAGCTTTTCCCCACTCTTTCTCTCATTATCTGTTTTAGTGTTAAGAAAGTATCACCCCTGACCAAACCCTGATTAATGTTAGGTTGCAATTTAGAAATCTGATGCAAGCCACCAAAAATATTAGTGTATTTTAACGAAAGCTCCTCTTGTTACTAATTACCCTCATGCTCTGTATCTGCCTGAAGAAAGACAGAACTTTGGGAGGTTTCTCCTTGCCTTCAGCTCTTGGGGTGAAGGGGAACCAAGGCACTCACAAGATATGTGTTGCTTCAGGAACAAAGAAAGTTCAAAGTAAAATCATCAGACCTCTGGTTCCTATAACTGAGTTCAGTTCACATGGGATGATTCTGGGCAGAAATTTGGGGTCTGTATAATGGTGGATTTGCTGAAGCATTTTAAAGTAAAACAGAAAAGATTTAGATTAGACATTGGGAAGAAATTCTTCCCGGTGAGGGTGGTGATGCCCTGGCACAGGTTGCCCAGAGAAACTGTGGCTGCCCCATCCCTGGAAGTGTCCAAGGCCAGGTTGGACAGAGCTTGGAGCAACCTGGGCTAGTGGAAGGTGTCCCTGCCCATGGCAGGGGGGTGGAACAAGATGGGCTTTAAGTTCCCTTCCAACCCAAACTATGTTGTGTTTCATTGATTCCATGAATTTGGCCATTGTTCCCTTCAAGTTACCCACCAGGTTTTCAGTGCAGACCTGCAGGACAAGGTGCCATCAGCCTAGAGCTGGATGGTGCTTTGCCTGGCAAGTAGTTCCATTGAAATAAAGAGAAGTATTAGAATAGGAAGGGCTGAAAATGAGCAAATGTGGTGGATGGTGAATACATCAAAAATGACCTGTGTGGGACTAATTCAGTGAGCAAAGCAGAGCTGCCTCGTACCTGACAGGTCTGAATTCAACACGGTGCTTTGTAAACAATAAATCAATGCAGGTTGTTTCTGTGAGTGCATAAAAGGTGTGAGAACTGTAATTTATTTTATAATAAATACTTGTGCTGAGCAAACAGTGAATGCAGCTATTAGAGACTTTCTCAAATACATGATTTTAGGCTGCTGAGTGCCAGCTACTGATGTGGTAGTTGAGCTTTTAAAATGAAAAGCCTGAATTCCTTTTGAAGATTCTCCTGAATGCTGTTGACACTTGTGCTAGGAAAGAATACAGAGTAATTTAATTCATTACTTTACTTAAAGATAACGCTTATAGTTGCAGCATTACCCTCCATTGGTGTGCAGACTGCGAGGCTGGAGGTGTTTTGCTCGAATTTTTTGGAGATATTACATCCTTTTATTAGGAGTGCTGAAAAGCTGGGGGGAGAAAAAAAATGTAGGAGGGAGAGGGGAGTTCAGGATCAGTCAGCTGGTGTGTCTGGATACAAGGACAAAGGGACAATTTTGCCCTTGGCTACAGTTTGACACTTCTACTAGATTCAGTCAGAATTATCTGTGTGTGCTGAAGGGCACAAATGTCATTTTTATGGTGTTCTATATCCTCAGTTGCTTTTTTTTGTAATTGGCTGCAGATCCCAGTGCTGTAATAGAGCTCTTAAATCCTGACCCCGGCCGGAACAGCTCACAAATACCAGTATTAACACTCCTGTCCATTTGAAGTGCAGGGTTGTCCTGAGTCCTTCCACCTTGTTTTTCAGGCACCATCTTGTGTTTCAGCCTGTTTTACTGGCAGTCTCCCACCTTTCTACTGGCTTGGGGTGCTCCTCTGCTTTACTGCTCTTGGTCCCATCTCTCTTGGTCCACTGGCCTCGGGCATCCCTCTGTTCCTTCCCTTGCTGTCTCCATCAGTTTTCCTACCCTTGGCTCCCCTTCACTAGCTGAGGGTCCTTGGATGGGTCCCAACCCTCTCACATTCTACCCCTTCATGCTCATCTTTTCTCTGTCAGAGTCACCTTCTTTTCTGCTAAAAAAAGAAGTGTTTCCTTGCCTGGACTGAAACCCCACCCTTCTGATCCCAAAGCTCTTCCTCTCCCTATCTGAGGGCTTTGTGCTTCTGAGTCTTTCACTCTCCTCAGATTCTTCAGTGTTCCAGACCTTTGGCTGATACCTGGCACCCCCTGTTTGAGAGGAAAGGCAGGGATTTTATTCTTCAAACCCTACAGAGAAGGGAGCAGAAGCAGGACTGGCTGGAGCTGTGGCCGGTGTGCCGGGGTGGGACATTCCCAGCTCTGATCTGGGAGGGATGTGACATAATCCAGACATCATTTACTGGCTCCATATAACCTGAGGCATTCACACATAAATTCAACCTGAATGCATAAGTTTGTATAAAGAGGATCCTTAAACTATCCTGGCTAAAAATATTTGTGAAATGCTGGGGAACATCTTTTTGGTACATTAGGATGCTCTCTTCCCTCTTATCTGTTACAGATATACAGGGGGGTGGGGGTCATGGTCTTAGGGATGTGTGTTCCATGGGAAATACTGTAATTTTTGTGGGTTCATTCATAAGTATTTTGGGCCTGGAGTCTAAAACAAAAGATGTTTCACAACTACAGAGGCCAAAGAGATGGAAGGTGTTATTGTAGGCTGACATGAACCTCTCCAGGTCCGTCCCTGGGCTGCTCCCTTCAATCCTTCTTTGCCCAAACAGTGGTTGTTCAGTTCAGTAAGTAATGGCCATTATTTATTATTAATTCAAAACATCCTGTGCAGGATTTTTTCCCATTTAAGAGCACATTAGCTTCTCCTGCCCAAGAAAACACATGTTAATCTGTTTTCCATTATTGTCCAGAAGATTTTTTCAGAAGGCAGTTCATATTACCCCGACAACATTAAAGGCTGTAATTAAAAATAATTTTCCATTAATTTATATGCATACACATTTACTTATTATGATCTTTTACTGCATTTCCCTGAGTGTACACACAGAAATCTAAAATACTGTTGAAGAGTAAGTCAATATTCAGTGTAATGATCCAGTGCCAGAACCCTGACATACTTCAATTAACGATCTTTCCTAACAAACACCTGCACAGGGAAATGGATCTTCTGTGGGAATCAGCACATAAACGAACCCTGACTTTTCTGCATGGGCAGAGGAAGGGAATTCCAGCATTTCACAGCTTTTACTGATAATGATCTGCTACAGATTAAAAACAAAAACCAGACATTATGGTGTTGGCAGATTGCAAAAGGACTTGCTGGTAAAGCTGCTGTTCAGAGGAGATGAGGACAGTGTTTATTGCTTCCATATGGTCCAGGGATACAAGACAGGCAAAATGTCTGGGGAGAATAATATGTCTTATTATACTGATACAGAACATTCTTGAGGTCTGTCAACCCTGTCCCTGGTACCTTTCCCAGGTGAGAGCCTGAGTGGGAAATATTTGCCCACGATTCAGCATGAAGATAAGAAAAGATTGCTTAAGGGTTGGCTCCATTTGTGTGAGTGAAGTGTTAGAAATGCTCATGTTTTAAGGGGTCAGGTCTGGGAGCTGCCACCTAACACTATTTTTCCTTGACTGTTTGTATAGTTTTCAACCCTTTGACTTTCTTATTCAGCTTTGCAAAGTGCATTAAGAGTCTAAATTTAGAGTTTGATAAATCTGTGTCAAAAAAACTCTTTTTCCGCATAATGTAAAATTAAATTTCTTGGTCTCTTTGACCTCCTGATATTATTTTTAGCCAAATTTAGAACCAAACTTCCAGGCACACTGAAACAGAAGAGTAACAGGCTACTTTTGTGTATGTGTATATGGGTAGTTGACCAAAGAACTGCAGTCTTTGACTTTTCCATAATTATCACCTTTATGTGTTGGAAAGATGCCACTGCCCTTGTGCAGAATTTTGGGGAGTAAGACCTTCAAAGATCAAATGAATATGCTCAGATATTAATATGCCTATTTCATTGCAAAAAGGGAACAGGCAAAGGAATTGGAGCCTTGCAAACCAGGCCACTGAGCTGAAACCCAAGAGGATTCCACCAGTCAGAGGATGAGCTGATCAGTCCTACTGGGTCCTTTGATAAATAAATATTGAAAATGGTTATTGTTTGTGTGAATGTTGCAATTGTTACCGTGCATAAACTTGTGTAGCAGGTGTTCTCCATGTGATAACAGAACTTCTGCTCTCTTGTTCTCCCAGGGCTGATGAAATCGAGATGATCATGACAGACCTTGAAAGAGCAAATCAGGTAGGATTTTAAATGAGCCCTCCATAAAATTCTGAGTGTGACTTTGATTTTTCTCTTTTAATTCTCTTTTGGATTTCATGACAGTTCTTTTATATGCACTTAGCAGTCATAACTGTGTAGAGTAAGAAAATATGCAAATTTAGAGCAAAATACAGCTCTTTAGGGATGCTCTGCAAGGATTGTGTGCACAGTAGAGTGGTGCTTCCCATATATTTACCTTCTAATAATTTAAACTTACATTTCCCACTGTAGTTATTCTTGGCTTTATGTTTCTAAATCCATCATGCTGGTCCCTACTCAGACATTCAAGTGACTGGTTTAACCAAATTAAAGAGCCTCTGCCCTGTGGCTGTGGCAGGGCTGCAGCTTTTATGGACTTCTCCAGAGTTTTCTTTTCCTTTTCTGATATATTTTATTGGTGCATTAATTTTTAGCAAGGGTTGGATCAGACTTTACCGTGTAGGACAAGGAAGGAATTGAGTCATTTGTTCCTGCAGATGCTGATTTGCAGATGCTAATTTGGCATAAATGTCCCTCCCACCATCCCTTGCAGGGCACACACTCCTGACAAAGTGGCACAATCACGTGGGACTTCTTAAAATAATAAGTTTTTAAAAAATCCAAACCCAACACCCGAGCCAAGTGTCCTTCTGGTGCAGTCTGTGCTTTGGGTGTCTGTTTGAGGTGATGAAGGAGATGTTCCTGGACAGGCAGGATTCACAGGTCACACACACAACAGGTGGTGCTTTCACAGAGGGAAACCTCAACCAGGCATTTGCTTATCAGTGGCATTCATTAAACCCTCTGTCAGGTAAGATCAGAGATTACAATCTTAAATCTCTCAGGTTATGGATTTATAATCCTATTGAACCTCACCTAAGAGCAGCTCACTGCCAGGAGGAATTGTGGCAGCTCCTTCCCCTCCGTGTGGTCCTGCTGGGTGCCCTGTGCTGTCAGCAGTGGTTGTGGGAGCCAGACCAGCCCACTGCTCCTGTTGAAAATGAGCCCCCTCCTCCAGCTGCTGTTTGGTTTTGCCTTTTTCCTTTTGCCAGATCAGCTTTCAGCCCCCACCCTCCCCTGGTGCAGCTGTCAAGTCTTGCAAGTGTCTTGGCCTTTACATTAGTTCTTGGTAAATTGGACAAATACAAATCACAGAATCATTTCCACTGGAAGAGCCCTCTGTGATCATCCAGTTCAACCATTAACCCAGCACTGCCAAGGCCACCACTAAACCATGTCCCCAAGTGCTACATCTTTTAAACCCTCCAGTGATGAGGACTCCACAACTGGGCAACCTGTACCAGGGCTTGACAACCCTTTTAGTGAAGAGATTTTCCCTGATATCCAATCTAAATATCTCCTGAAGCAACTTGAGGCTGTTTCCTCTTGTCCCATCACTTGTTACCTGGGAGAAGAGACCAACTCCCACCTACACCCTTCTGTCAGGGAGTTGTACAGAGTGAAAAGGTTCCCCCTGAGCCTCTTTTCTTCCAGGCTGAGCCCCCCCAGCTCCTTCAGCTGCTCCTGCTGCCCCAGACCCTTCCCCAGCTCCATTCCCTTCTCTGGACACACTCCAGCCCCTTAATGCCTTAATGAAGCTCAAAGCAGATTTGTAGGTTGTTGGGTTGATTATTTAGTCAGTAAAAGCAAACTGGTGTTTGCACAGTGGGTTTTTAGTTCTGTCAAAGAACTTTTGTAGACTGCATTAAATATTTATTAAAGTGCTAGTAATTATTTGGAAATATGTAGACTTTTTAGAAATGATGTAGGTGTTAAAGATGTTTTGGTAGAATTATTTTGTGATTTTTGCAAAAGCACTACATTTTGCCAATGTAGCAATGATTTACCCAGTAGGGTTTGTTTTTTCTTTCCCTCAGAGTAGAAAGGGGGTTGTAGTTAAAGAATAGGTATTTCTGATTTCCCCACTGCCATACTAAAATCACCTGTATATGTTTATATAGAAATGCTCTTTTTCAGTCTAACTGGAACAAAGCTGCAATGTGGTTTGGTTTGGGGTTTTTTTACTTTACTGTGGTGGTTTTGTTGTAATTAGGTAAAATTTATAACTGCTTATGTACATAACCCTTTCTTTGGTTGTAATTCAGCAAAAGCTGGGTCTGTACATTACTATCAGTGTGCAGTTCATCTGAGCTGTTGTAAAGCCAGAAGAGAGGATTCTGTCTTCCCTCTCCCCATCTGCTCCTCTTCTGCCTCCCCCTCCAGCTTCTGCAGTCCCATCCCCTCCCAAAAAGCAGCTCCTGCAACTGGGGGACCATTCATTGAGTCCAGTGAGCTCAGTAAATGAAGATTTGGGATGAAGGGGCCAAGTTTGTTTTCTGTGGGTTTAACAAATGGAGGCAGCTCAGCAAACCATGGGAGAGGCCACAGTGCCAAAATCAGAATCATGGAATGGTTTGGGTTGGAAGGGCCTTTAAAGACCATCTCATCCCACCCCCTACCATGGGCAGGGACACCTTCCACTAGCCCAGGGTGCTCCAAGCCCCATCCAGCCTGGCCTTGGACACTTCCAGGGATGGAGCAGCCACAGCTCCTCTGGGCAACCTGTGCCAGGGCCTCACCACCCTCAGAGGGAAGAATTTCTTCCCAATATCCCATCTAACCCTGTCCTCTGGCAGTGGGAAGCCATTCCCCCTGGTCCTGTCCCTCCATGTCCTTGTCCCAAGTCCCTCTCCAGCTCTCTTGGAGCCCCTTTAGGCCCTGGAAGGGGCTCTCAGGTCTCCTTGGAGCCTTCTCTCCTCCAGCTGAACACCCCCAGCTCTCCCATCCTGGCTCCAGAGCAGAGGGACTCCAGCCCTTGGAGCATCTTCATGTCCCTCTCTGGACTCTCTCCAACAAGTCCATGTCTTCCTTGTGTTGAGGGCCCCATGAGGGACACAAGGGGAGTGTGTGGCCTCGGAGGAGATGGAGAAGGGAAGGGAAGGTTCCCTGGTAGAGGAGCAGGAGCTGCTGCAGTAGCTCAGCTCATTTGCTGAAACATCCTCATAGTCTTTGCCTTGTGTGATGCTTTACCTTTATAAAACACTTTCGTAAATTATATCTAAGTAATCTTTGGAGCAGCAATTCCTGTGTTTTACCTCTTTATAGTCAAAAAAAAAAAAAAGGAAGAAATTAAATCTATTGCACAGGCCAGAAAGTGAGTTTGCATCAGGCTGAAGTGTTACAATTGCAGAAACAAGTACTTAACCTAATTATGTATTTAATAGTTAAATTAACATTTCCTTTTACCATTTCAGTAAGTGCTCATTCCCCATTATTAAGGCTACCTTTAAAGAGTAGTGCTCAGCACGACTCCTGCTTTGTGCACAGACTGCCTTGCTGATTTGGATGTGATGTTTTGCGCCTCTGGAATTAACACTGACCCAAAAGACTGGGATTTGGAGCAGAAATTTACATGTTTCCACTGAAAATGTGAAAAAAAAATTGCTGTAAATTTTTAAAGAGCTGATATTTCTTGAAAATCCCTTTCTCTATGACTGCCCTTTTAAAATCCAGAGTTGGCACTTCAGAACTGCCCGTGTATGTGAGGACACCTCTGTGGCTCCTGAGAGGTGGGCAGGGCCATTTCCCTCTCCAGTTCTGCAGGAATGAGGGTGTGGATGTACTCACTGCCCTTGGTCCAGGTGTCCATATCCTGGATGATAAAAGCCTTAGGGACAGAGCTGATGTTGTGACTCCCACCCTGGTGTCCTGCTGGGTCAGACATGGGCCATTCTTCTTCAGACTCCATCACCTTTCTTCTCCCAGTTATTCTCCTCATTTGGATCCTCAAGTTTTCCCATGCAGAAGCTTTCTGGGCTAGTTTGTGTCATCCCCAGAACAAATTACTGGCTCCTGGAAATAATTACCTTTAAATACCAGTGAGCTTTGCAATTTTCTGCTCAGACAGAAGAAGGGGAAGTGACCGCAAAGCTCCGTCTCTCTCCATTGTATCAGTAACACAAGGTATAAACTGAATTTGCCCCCAAACCATAATCATGGGAGAAATCAATCCCTCATTTGAGCAGAGCAGGCTGGAGCAGAGGTGAGTACTGGAGAGGAGAGGGTGATGGCAACACAATGACTGAGGTGACAGCCCCTTCCTTAGCTGCTGATCCAGGTGCTCAGTGCTGTTAATCCAAGATCTTGGGGGGGGATTTATGGCAGGACCAGTCCATTGTGACTGACAGAGCTCAGGGTGATGTAAGTACACCAAGTCACACCCACTGTGAGGGTGAGGTGGGTGTCAGTGGCGACCTGGAGAGTAACCCTTCCACTTGAAAGTCCTCAGAGCTTTTTTTATAAAAAAAAAGGGCCAGAATAGTAAATTAAAAGTGCTGGTTCACCTAGACCTGCCTCAAGAGGAGCCATTAGCTCATGACTTGGGGCTTTGGAAGGGGTGAAGGTCTGAAGCCAATAACCCCCACTTGCTTTCATGGTAAAATGCAACTGCATCATGTGCCAGACAGCAGAGGAACTGGGGGTCCAGTATCCCTCTCCAACCCTCTCCTCATCCCTGAGGTTGTGTGACTGCACAGGACTGAAGTCACAATAGAGCTAAATACAATAGGAATGGCTTATTTGCACTTTACTGACTCTCCAGCTCAACAAGAAAACTAACCCACAAGTTCACCCTCACATTTCCATGAAGATTTAATAATGCTGTAGTTTGGGGAAGGGACTCATTTTATTAACATTTCATTTTGCACAATAAATCACTGCATATTTTCTGATATGCTACGAAGTATAAGAATAAATAATTAAAACTAAACTACCCATACTTGTCAAAATAAATGATTTATCATAGTTTGGGATACAGCATCTTTGAATTTTTTATTGTTTGATTCCCAGAATATTCTAATTTCCAATCAGGGAAGTTAATGAAGCTCCAGTGTACTTTTCTGCATTCACAGCAGTTACAGTTGTGTGGCTGTTTATTTTACACAAATATTTATGGTTAGCACTTTTCTGTACCTTTTCAAGTTTGCACCTTTCCAGTAAGT